CCTCACGTCACCCCTCGTGCCCAAAACCATCTGCTAACTAGTCAGTTCAGGAATGGTTTTAGGACCAATACTAAAATCACCTGAAATACAGTTTCAGACACAGACCTGAACCCCGTTTCGGAAAGCCTGAGATTCCGCAGTCAGCGGTCCCGTCTCCACCACCCGAGTCATCTCGGTGTCTCCCAGCTCCACGGAAGGCTCCTTGCTCCCATTATTTCTTGTCTTCCTGTTACTTTTCATCCATAGATCTCTCCTCCAACACACTCCTCTCGCATGTTGAGATTTTTCCCAGGGATGCCTATTTTCTTGGTGTATATAGTGTTATTGGACTAAAATCTCTCATTTGCCAGACTATGCAAAAATAGGTAGATACATGAGACATGTGCTGTTCTTCACTACCTTCGTGTCCTTTCTCCTACTAATGCATATCTTTTCAGCATTTCGTGTTATTGTCATTTCCTCTCTCTGAACTAAGATCTCCATGTTTTCCATTTATCTGAGCATTTCTTTCCCCTCCCCGTACCACATTTTCAGCTTTGAACTCTAGTGATCAGACTGGGAAAGACATCTCAGAACAAATGCAGGCTTTCCAGGATTGTAAAGCACAGCCTGTCCCCAGTAGAGAGCCCAGGGCACCAAGCCTGAAGCCAAACCCCCATGTGTAGCAAGAGATTGTTTTCTTGTTCTTTCTTTCTTTCAATGGTGCAACTCTCAACTGGAAGCAGAGAAAAAAAGCAGCGCTTACGTCCCCCCAAGTCTGTGTCTGATACTTCATAGTCTCTGGACATGTGTCCAAAGTTTCTTTTACCTTGTGCTTGTGAGTGACTCACCTGAAACGGCTGGCGGATGGTAATCCATCACATCGCAGACATTCGTTTTAAGAAGCTGGCACCCCTCCTGGCTGATCAGACACTTAAAGTTCCTTACATCTACCACTGTCACCCCGGAATCCCTTGGGGAAAAATAATATAGCTCAAGGACAGGAGCTGGCAAACTTGTTCTGTAAAGGGCCCTGATAGCAATTATTTTAGGCTTTGTGGGATATCTGGTCTTTGTGGCACGTTAGTGCAGAGAATGAAAGCAGCCCTAGACAATGAGTAAACAAAGGAGTGTGGCTGCATTTCTATGGGACTTTGTTTACAAAAGCAGGCTGCAGGCTGCATTTGGTCCCAGGAGGTCCTAATTTGCCACTTCCTAGTGTCGGGAAGGAAGAAGGAGGAAATAAGGACTAGATCCAGGGAAGGAGAAGAGAGTCACTAACCACTCCTCCACATCTTGCATTTATTTAATTACCCTCTAAGTCCAGTAAATAAATAACCTTCTGTTCCTAGGGACTGTGAACCTCCTAAATTAATTTTGGGCCAAAATATCTAGTTTTATGTTATCTCATATTATTTATTTTATTTTATTTCATTGCAGATATTTAGAGGTAACTTTAAAATATTTCAGCTTTGCCTTAGGCATGTTAAGGGGCTGACAGCGCCTCCCTCAGGCCATGAGGATGGTAGCAGTCATACACAAAGGTAACTATCTGGGCACTGAGATGCAAGAAGAGATCACCCTCCCCAGTGCTTATGCCAATCATTGGCAACCTTGAGAGACCTACATTTTTATTTTATTGAAGCATTTCCTCGCAGAGGCCTGCAGTTTTTCCACATGCATTTTGTGAGGACGGAATTTTCCCCATGCTAGACTCTTACGCTAATATGCTTGCCATTTAGAAAAAGGAAAGCTGGCATTGGTAAAAAAAAAAATAATTTCTTTAGGGGTTCTTTTCATATTTGCCTGTTAAAATCAAATAAATTTACCACATTAAAGTATTATTTGAATGGATTTTCATTCCCTGGGCAAATAGTAACAAATGACATGTGCATTTGTGTGAGAGTGCGTGTGTGTGTATGAACATATATATGCATGTGCAAGGTGGGTAGCAAAAGGAAATTAGTTGGGAGGGAAAACATTGATAATGGTAGGCAATCAATATCATCTATAATGTATACACGCATAGACACAGGCCTTGACAGTCTTATGGAAGGAGCCAGTACCTCAAAGATGTATAACAGAGAGACATCAACAATTGTTGATGGCATTAAGGTAGGACAGACCTGGATCAATGCAAATCTGGCCTGCTTAGCAATCTTTTCCAAAATTCTCCAATAGTTTTGAGAAAGACAACATGATAGGCTTACTGAACAATAAGAGCAACTGAGTACCATGCAGACAGCCCGTGGGCCAGAAGCAAGTGCCCAGAAAATTGTCACTTACATATGGAGAGTAAGTGCTTGGAAATAAATGTGGGAAAATCTTAGCAGCTAACTTCATAGGTGTGCAGGAAACAGACAGCTCTATCAACCTCAGAATTTAGAAGTACAACTGTGTGTCCCCAGTTCAAATGGAGCCAGAAGCCTGACCTGGCAGAAAACTGGAAACGGGTTTCCCTTCCATCTCCCCAGATTCCGCGCTTGCTCCTTGACATCCCTTTGTTGTACATCTTCTCTCCAGAGGGAGCCATGGGGGATACTAATGAGAAGTCTGCGAAATAATGTATCAGCTGGTGCTTCCGACTGAAGAGAGCAAATAAGTTAATTCCATTGCCTTCTTTATAAGCTGGATTCTCAAACATTTTTTTCACTTATTTAATAATTTTGAGCATGTCCTCCTAAAGCCTTGAAATTGAGTCTGCAAATTTATACACAGGGTTATGACCATCTATCACAGGTGCTGTCACACGCCTGGGGCACAACGGGAGATGTGTTTCAGGGTGGGAGATGGAAATGTCACATTCTTCTCCAAGGCTGAGATGATCACAGTGCAGAGGATTATGCAGGAATGCGTCTGTGAAGGAAGAAGGGCGGAGGATAAAATCCTGGGGAGGGTGTGAATTTAGGGTTTAGGATAAGGCAGAACAGCCTAACTGTGAGAAAGAAACGTTATTACCAGAGAAGGTCTTGATTGGTGGGACATGGGAAAGAGTGAGGTCACAGATTTGCAGGGCCTGGACTAAGTTGCTCTCCTCACCCTGGTCCCAACTGTGGTGATGTGGGAACATATTGTACTTTGTGGGCTTAAAATCCTTGAATTTCAAAGTCAGCAGATAGAATCAGAGGGAATTTACATGGGTTCATAGTGTGGAAAGTGCTTTCACAGATAACATATTGGCGATCCCAAACTCATCACAGGGAAGTTGTGTTTTTATGACAACGTCAAGAGATGGAAAAACAGTCTTGAAAAAATTGGGTATCCTGCCCAGGAACACGTAATTCGGAAGCACTGGGATTCAAACTCAAACCTTCCGGGTCTAAAGCTCACACGGTTTTTATTCTGTCTGGTTGCCTCTTGCAGCTGGATGGAAAGCTAGCCTGAGACAAGAGGAGGACCATCTGGGAGGAAGGGAGGGAAGGAGGGAGGGAGAGAGGGAGGGGGACGATGCTCCCTGGAAATGTGAGCCCATGGAGGATGGCTCAGGGCCAGGAAAGCTGGGGGCAGAACCATCTAATGGCTGGAGAGCAGGTCCAGCCAGGTCTGTGAACTTGAAAAGGGAGACAGAATTTTGAAAGAGCCATTGTATTTAGAGGTAATAGGAGAGAGAACTCTTTGGGGTGATTAAAGTCACCGCTGAGGGTACAGCTAACGTGAGAGGGAATGAACCTGCAGTAGGTGCGGGCGTTTTTGGTGTGGAGTCTCCAGCAGACATCAGTGGAGCAGAAGTGGGAAGAGTAGGTTGCTTGGCTAATCAGGTTGAGGCGGCTTTCTGATCAGCCGACAATTCTCCAGGAAAAATCATTCTTCTTTCCGTAGACGTAGCCCACATCACATCATCTGTCTGACAGTACAAAGTTTTCAGGACATTCTGGAACAAATTCAAACTTCCCTGGGTTTCAGTTCCCTGTAGTTTCCTTCTCTCTTCTTTCTCCTCAGTTCCGCATCCCAGCCCTTCACCTTCACTGCACGTTCTGCAGCCTCTACTTTAGGCCCTTTCTACTTTCTTCCAAATTTTTCTTAAACTATTACACCACTTTCTCACATCAACTTCCATCTTACTGTGTATTCAGGAAAAGAGGCCATGTGAACAGTGAGTACATTTACATTTTTGAGCTCGGAGTCAGTAAACATAGAAATCATTCTTAATTTTTCCACTGTTGCGTAAAGCCACAAGTATATACACATAAAAAACGCACTACTTTATTTAAAAAAGCAATAACCATTTGTTCTCGTTTTTTTAAACCAAGAAAAGCTGATGGGAATATGGAGAAGGGAGGGAAAATGGCAAAATGCTGGCGGCTCTGCAGACCAGATGGTCTGAGACAGCAGTGACCCCGAGGCTGGCAGACTCGGCCAGGGCGGGACAGGAACGCTGGAACCCCGCTGGAAGGGGCGGAAGCGTGGTCCTCGTGTCTAAAGAGCGGGGCTAGCCCACGGAGATGCCCCTAGAGGTGTTCAACCTATCGAGCCGCCTCTTCATTATAAGTTCCAGGTAGAAAAGGATCACCATTTTAAATGATGTGCAGCACTTAACACATTGAAGAGAAATTAATACATGTTAATTTACATATAGAGCCAAAGGAGAAATAAATTCAAATAAGTAAAAATAAGCCGGAACCATTATGTTCTACATTCTTCTTTGTGATTGCCAGCACCTGTATACATTTGTGAATGTCACTGCTCGTGTATGTAATGTAGAGTTGTCTGTAACTCTGTGAAAGCCGACATCGTTTTATTGAAAGACATTTTTATGTTAGGCTGTTCTGGTTCTCCTTGGAGTCAGGTTTGCAATCTCAAGTTGTATTTCTAAGAAGTGATCGCCACCTCCCGGCTACTGCAAGTATCGCTGAGCAGCCAAGTGGAGTAAGGTGGGGTATTTGGGGGTTTTTTGTTGTTGTTGTTGTTTACCCCGCCCCCCATTCTTAACCAGGTTCTGGAATTAAATTATCTTTTAGTTCGTAAGACATAATAATCACTTATGAATCCACATGACTTCTGAGCAGTCCCTTCATCTCCTTTTAATTTTTATACAAAATTTTTTTTGCATAATGTTTGGGTTTTATTAACACAAATACAATGTGCACACAATCTGCCTGTTCATTTTCTTTGCTGTGCAGCCTGGCATTGGGATTAGTGATTCTGATGGGCAGCTGGGCTGCCCTGTCCGTGGTGGCTTTGTGGTTCTTTGAGGAGATGTTAGAAATCCCAGCACAGTAAGGTTTCTTGCACATCAGCAGCACTTCAAGCTCCTTGACGTTGTGGACCAGGAACTTCCCAAAGCCACTGGGCAGCATGTGCTTTGTTTTCTCGTTGCTCCCATAACCCAGGCTGGGCATCAAGATCTGGCCCTTGAATCTTCTGCGCACCCTATCGTCAATGCCTCTGAGTTTCCTCCAGTTATGCTGAATTTTGACATATAGGTCTGACTGGTGCCGGATGAACTTCTTGGTCCTCCGTTTGACAATCTTGGGTTTCACGAGAGGCCTGAGGGCAGCCATGGTGCCGAGTAAAGATGGCTGCCACCTCTGTAGGCAGCGCTGAGGAAAAGAGGGGAAGGTGGTATGTGAGGCCTGAAGGGACTTCCCGTATATAATTTTTATTCAATGCATGTCACTGTCTCTAGTGTGAGCTATAATACAGTAAGAAACACTACCCCAGCACAATATATATACTCTCCAGGCAGAGATTGCCATACCGACCCAGAATATAGATTAATATAGCAATTTTCAACCCCTTCATCTCATGACATACATAAACTAATTACTAAAATTCTGCGGCACACCAGAAATATATTTGTTGCCGATCTGACAAAAACATAGGTATAATTTTGATTGATTCCCACTGGATGGCTATTGTGTTGGCTGTTGTCATTTTTTTATTTGACAATCTAAGGGAAAAGAGGTCAGTGCCCCTGACTAAATAGTCATGTATTACATGTTTGAAAAATTCTTGCACCCCACAGGTTGAAAATCTCTGGGTTAATAGTTTGATGAAATTGCTAATCCTGGTTCTCAGACTCTGCAAGGAAGTCTGAGGTGGAGCAAAGCTGTACAAAGAAGATCTCCTGGTAGAAATAAATTTTGTCCATTCCTAAGTGGAGGTTAAAAGTGTATTTCTCATTAATAGGTGAATGACTAAAATTGTCCTTGATATAAAATCCAACATGGGTTCCACCTACACAGTCTGGAGTTGCACCTTTCAGATGCACGTTCAACCTCTGAGCACATTGCTACAATCCAGGCGGGTAACACTCTTCCCTGAAAGGACTGCTCTTTGGTAAGACCGAGAAAATAGGAATTACACAGGGTCGGTTTGACAAATGGTATGGTTTATCGTGGTATTGTCATCATTCCCTCAAGTTTATTTTTTTTCTTTTCTGTGAAATTTGTACTTGAAAACTGTTCCAACAATTTAAAATTAGAGGGTCAGATTTAAAAGTTCCTGCACAACTAGCCAAATGTTTTTTATTTTGTTGCCTGGAAACAGTACTTTTAAATTTCTACTTACATGGGTCCATATCAGTTGCTTTGGCCTCATTTAGATGTGTTTTTTTCTAATTAAGCTCGAAAAGTGTGGTGCTCTGTGTATATGAAGTAGCTGGAATAGCAATCACCGGACAGTACCTGACCAACCCAAGCAACTGAGAGCCCCTTCCTTCTCACTGAGGGAGAACAGTGTCGTTAGCCATGGCCAGCTCTCTACACCGCACTTGAATTTCAAGTACAACTTTTCATCTTCCATGAACCATGTGTACACATTAAATTTCTAAATTACAGGGCGTGGACTGGATATGTCACTAGAATATTTTATAGTTGAGCAAAAAAAAAGCACTCTGCTAACCAAAATGGCGCTGGGGAAAAGGGAGTAACTAAATTCAGCCTCTGTTTAAAGCTCTGAAAGACAGTGTGGGCGCTACCTGTCCTTGGCCATGAGACTTCTTACAGAAGGCCTTGGTGTGCTTTTTGGTGCAATGCCACTCCCACGGGCACCAAGGGAATGGGCAGGTTAGAAAAGCTGGATTTACGTCAATAACCTATGTATGCTTAGTGCTGTAAAATACTAACGGGATGTCCCCAAAGCCTCTAGGTATCTGGACGTGGGGGGAAATATTCTTTGACATTTTTGACATGTGAGCAGAGTAAGGAAAACTCATCTGTTCCCCCTCATCTGTTATAACACACATCCACCACACATTGTACTCAGATAGGGATTCAGTTGGTCAGGATGGGGCCCGGGCCTGGGTTTCCGAAGCCTCCCGAGGTCCGCCCGCCAGGCTGCCAGGGCAGTGATGGGCCCTGGGCAAATGAGAACTGTTTCTCGCCTAAGGAGAGACTGAATGTCTCTGGGTTAGACAACGGTAAGATAAAACAAACATTTTAGGCATTGAAGAATAGAAAGAGTTGGGGAAAGAGAATAGGGGAAAGAAAGGAGGTCGAAAAGTTAGACAGGAAACAGTAGGGAACAGTGGCTGATCTAAAATAGGAAGACTTCTAACGACGAGGGGAAATGAGCTGAGCTCAGAGTGATGGCTGCGAGGCCCCCACCATTCCCGCACATGGTGTGAGTGGATGGAGAAGGGCCAGAAAGGAAGCCACAAGGCCCTGGGCTTAGCGGGCCTGTTTCCTGAACAGAATGCAATTGGCCAAGGTATGCGCCTCACACTTGCAGATGAAATACTCAAGGCTGCTTTCTGGACCCAAAGACTTAGTGTGAAACATGAGAGAGGAGATAAAAGCCTAGGTTAGTGGTTGGTGAATGAATTGTGGGTAGAAATCATTGGAAGAGCTTGTTAAAACTCAAATTGACCAGCCCAACCTGAGACATTTAGGTTCAGCAGCTCAAGGGTGGGGCTTGGAGAAAGGCTTCTTCTGAAATGTGTGTTAGTGAGATAAAAACACAGATGGAGAACTAGATATCATATACCTGCATACTTAAAAGTTGTCAAGCACGCTCACAGACTGTTAATTTAAGGAAGCTTGAGAGTCCTTCCTGGACAAATAAGCCTTACCCAGATGCTCAAGTTCAAATATAGAGCGTTAATGTTTAGGTTTTATCCTCTACCTCTGTGTCAAAGGTCTGTCCTCCTACCTTGGCAAATTTCAAATATGCCTTCCTAATAATCTGGAAGGCCAGGTTTATTTTTATTTTTTAATTTTTTCTTTTTTCATTAATTTTCAGAGAGAAAGGGAGAAACACCTATTTGTTGTTCCACTTATTTATGCATTGATTGGTTTATTCTTGCATGTGCCCCAACCTAGGATTGAACCCACAACCTTTGTGCATTGGGCAATGCTTCAACCAACTGAGCTATGTAGCCAGGACAAGGCCAGGTTTAAATTTAGCATTTTCAAGCCTCTCAGTATTGAGGAGGGAGTTGGTGGCCCACCCACTCTTCTCCTTCCATCTGCCTCCATCTGGAACCATGAGGCACCTCTGTGCATGTGTGGGAACATCCCAGGCCATGTGCTTAAGTTATGACCAATCACCATCCACTCTCACCCCCCAAGCAGCAGCCCCACAGGCTAGGGTTGCGCAGACTCGCGACTCTTCTGCCCTGTTGAGGGCAGATGGGGGAAAAGAGACGACATGGGCCTTGTTGGCCAGCTTGGGTCATTTGGGTAAGTAATTCAAAGATTTTTCATTTCTAAGTCATTGTCTAAAAGGAGGCCGTGAGCTTCTGGTGCGCATGTTCTCAGGTCTCGCGAATGTGCCGTCCCAGGGAATGGACAGGGCCAGGGACGTACAGCTCAGGCCTTCTACGTCTCCCAGAGCAGGTCTTCCTTTTGCTCTAAGAGGAATATTGAACCCTGGTGAAAAGATGCTTGACCCATGATCTTAGACCCCAACATTGTGGAGCATTGATCTTGTAGTGCTGGCAACAAACGAGCTTGTGGGTTGCCACCAGGTCATTATCACTCCAGTGGCACCTTGGATGCCGAAGCAATCGAGCTGGGAAAGCCCCTTTTGTTCTTACCTCCCCTCCCACCTCCAAACAAAACCAGGGGAAAATACTTTCTCCCCTACCTCAGACAGTCTTTTAAAAGAAAGTAGCACTTGTAATCGGTAGAATATAGAAATAGTACATTTGAATTAAAGAGAGGATATACTTTCATATTAACACAATACTTTCGTACAACTTACACCTTGTTGACTATGAGCTGAGAACTTTGCACATCATTAAAAATCCATTAGGACAATGCCCACACCTTGACCTCTCCAGTAGAGGCCTTAAAACCTTATTTGTTTAAAAAAGAAATATTGCTTTAGGCAGGCACTCCTGGTAAGTGGGGACATCTGTGTTGAAACTGTTTCAGCCTGTGACCACAGCGAGGTAGAGCCAGTCAACATTGTGCAACCTCAGCCTCGCCCAGGGCACCTGTGCTTCCGGGGCTGAAGGACACCGTGTTAAATTAATCTCTCCTTTCCTTAAGCCTTCAGGCTGCAGTGAATTTCAGCTGTGGCCTTAGGGAGGGATGCCACATAAATGATGTTCGGTCTCCTTTGTAAGCCAGGGTAGAGCTTCGCAACTCCAGCCTTTCCATTAGTATTGCGTGGGGAGGTTATAAAGGTACCCACAGTGGCCAGGGGTGGCTGGGGGACTGGGGAAGGGGTGGACCTCTGTAAAATCCTGTGCAATGGGTTTGCGGCGAGCCCAGGTACAGGTGTTTTTAGAAAACTTTCAAGGAATGGAGATGGGCTACCAGGAGTGAGGATCACCAGTTTAAAGAACTGGCTAATATCAAAGATTCTGTGATAGTAAAACAAGAACAGGTGGGTTATGATACAAAGGAAAGAGAGATGGGGACAATGAAAGACAAGGGTCAAGAGAACATTAAATCAAGATTCAGGGCATAGCTGGAAACGGTGGCAGTCACCCGACAGTGGTGTGGCCCTGACAGACGGGGGGAGTGCACGTGCTTGCGGGCACAGACCACCACACAGCTGTCGAGGCGCTGGACCAAAAGCGCAGCTGCTTCCCAGTGTGGCCTTGTCCTAACATAGTCTTGGCTGATGACAGAATGAATGGCCCAGGACCACAAAAAACTGACCATTCCCATAGCCCTTTTGGATTTTTAGGCTCCCGAAGAAAGACCAGATGGCACTGTGCACAGGGCTTTGCTCACTCACGGCAGTGGACAGCATGCCATCGACCGTCCCCGTCACTCACTGAGAACAGTGCCCAACCCCTCAGCTGTCTCTAAGTGCCAAAGGGAAGTGAAGACACCCTGACTTCTTCAAATTCTAACATCACATTAACCTTATGTTTACATTTCTTTGTTCAAACTCTTGCAAAGTGAACATACTCAGGTCACCGGTACCCAGATGAAGAAACAGATCCCCGGGAGCCTCCGTCCAGTTCCTAGAGCCTCAGGTGCTCACTCTTGAGCTTCTCACACTGAAAATGAGTGAGCGCGTCCTGATGGGGAGGCAGACTATGTCCCGCAGAGCCGCTCCGGGTCATCACGGGTGGGGAAATGAAAATAAGCCATTCTAGACACTGTCTCGGTCTGCCAGGGAAAGGGGGTGGCGATTCCTTCTACT